ACAAGTGTGTGATTGTAGGGCTCGTAGTTGTACATGAAGTGGTATAATTTTGCTTCAAGGTAGACTGTGATAAGGTAAGGAGGCATATTGTAATCCCCTAGAGACATAGGTTGTCAAGTGTGGGCTCAAGTATTCCTCAGGGTCCCCAACTCTCTTTCAGGGGTACACAAAGTCTTCCCTTTTCCAACTACCTATCTTTCTAAGGCTGGATTTTCTTCCTATCCTTTGACCAAAACAATCTATCAAAACAAATTGAACACAGAAGATCTGGAAACTCAAATATTTTCTAATAAGCAAGGCGTTAAAGAGATTCACAAAAATGTAAAACAACTACTACTCATCTCAGTACATTTTAGGGAGGGATATAACTGTAACTCATAAAAATGTTGGGCAGGGCACAATGGCTCACACCTGTAATCCCAGCACTTTGGGAAGGCAAAGTGGGTAAATCACTTGAGGTCAGGAGTTTGAGATCAGCCTGGCCAGCATAGTGAAACCCCATCTCTACTAAAAATACAAAAATGAGCCAGGCATGGTAGTCTGTGATCCCAACTACTCTGGAGGCTGAGGCAGGAGAACCACTTGAACCCGGGAGGTGGAGGTTGCAGTGAGCCAAGATCACTCTACTGCACTCCAGCCTGGGTGACAGAGTAAGACCATGTCTCCAAAAAAAAAAAAAAATTAATAAATAAGTTTATGCTACCATGTAATACTTTATTGCTTTTTATTTTTATTTATTTATTTGAGACAGAGTCTATCTCTGTCACCAGGCTGGAGTGTAGTGGTGCAATCTCAGCTCACTGCAACCTCTGCCTCCTGGATTCAAGTGGTGATTCTCCTACCTGAGCCTCTCAAGTAGCTGGGATTATATGCACCCACCACCATGCCCAGCTAATTTTTTTATTTTTTGGTAGAGATGGGGTTTCACCATGTTGGCCAGGATGGTCTCGAACTTCTGACCTCGTGATCCTTCCACCTCAGCCTCTCAAAGTGCTGGGATTACAGGCATGAGCCACAGTGCCTGGCCTTTTATTGCTTTTTAAATAATTTAATATGTATTTTTTAAATGTATCAGCTTAAACCAGGTGTGGTGGCTCTCGCCTGTAATCCCAGCACTTTGGGAGGCCAAGGTGGATGAATCACGAGGTCAGGAGTTTGAAACCAGACTGGCCAACATGGTGAAACCCCATCTCCACTAAAAATACAAAAAATTAGCTGGGCATGGTGGTGGGCGCCTGTAA